TTTTTAAAGATTTATTTATTTATTATCTATACACAGTGTTCTGCTTGCTTGCATGTACCTGAACACCAGAAGAGGGCACCAGACCTCATTACAGATGGTTGTGAGCCACCATGTGGTTGCTGGGAGTTGAACTCATGACCTCTGGAAGAACAGCCAGTGCTCTTAACCTCTGAGCCACCTCTCCAGCCCTTGTATTAGTATTTTTATTAATATTAATTGCCTTAATATTTTATCTTTTACTTTGTTTTTCTTTTGAAACAGTCTTGCTATAGCCCAAGCTGATTCTGAACTTGAGATACTCCTGCCTCAGCCTACAAAACCCTGGAATTGTGGACATGTGCCATGATTGCTGTGGATATTGATTGCTCTGTATGCTGTGAATGTGTTGCTCTGATTTGGTTGATAAATAAAATGCTGATTGGCCAGTAGCCAGGCAGGAAGTATAGTTTCGGTGGGACAAGCAGAGAGGAGAATGCTGGGAGTGGAAGGCTGAGTCAGGAGACACTGCCAGCCGCCGCCATGAGAAGTAAGATGTAAAGTATCGGTAAGTACATGCCATGTGGCAACTTATAGATTAATAGAAATGGGTTAATTTAAGATATAAGAACTAGACAGCAAGAAGCCTGGCACAGCCATACAGTTTATAAGTAATATAAGTCTCTTTGTGTTTTCTTGGATCTGAGCGGCTGTGGGCCCTAGCAGGGTTGGAGATGCTCAGCTAAGTCTTGTTCTAGAGTATAATCTTTTAGTTATTTTATTTATCAAAAAGCAAAAATTTTTAACTTGGTAGAGAATTTAAACAACATGATTGCTTATTACTCTAATATTAGTATGTTAATAGGTTATTTAAAATATTTTTGCACTAACAATATAACATTTAAATAAAAGTTAATAAAACCTATTTTCAATAGAAAAGCAAATTAATTTATATTAATGAAATGTTTTATAAATTTGGACTATCTTGAGACATTGAAGCAGTAAGAAGGGGCAGAAAGAGTATAAGGGTGAGAAAAGTTAATCTTTCCACTAACTTCTTTTATTGATTTTCATCTATGTATGCAAAGAATATGATTATATATAATCACTACTTTATCCCTCCAACTGTCCTTATACTTCCTAATACCTCCCCATCAAACTTTACATCTTTTTCTAAAACAATAATCCACTAAGTTCAATGAGTGCTTCCTATACGCAAGATGTAGGGCCAGCCACTGGAACATGGGAAACCTACCTCAGCCTTGAAGAAGAATATCTTCCAGAGCTCCTATCAACTGTCAACTGATCCTCAGGAAGGGGTAGGGCCTAGAGACCAATCCCCACTTCTGTAGGAACTATTGCTGGCTTGATCTTGTATAGTCTTATATGGGTAATTATGGTTGGTATGAGTTCATTACTGTAATAGCTATAACCTTTTTGAATCTTACCTTTGTCAAGATTCTATAAGCTTCTTTGAGCCCACAAGAAGAGTAGCCTGTGCACCTTCTAGGCATAGAGAAGTATTTCTCTTACGACTTTATATGTACTTCCTGATTATAAGTGCTCCTCACCTGACCATTTGTGTTGGTTACCATCTGCAGGATCTAGAAAACCAGCAATAATTATGGGAAAAGCCCAGAGACTACATAGTGTTACTGTAAAGAAGCTAGATGTAAAGGGGCATTATAAACCATGCTGGTTGTCATTGTCACAGCCCAGGACTTTAGAGTTACCATCCTGTAATTAATCTTATCACTCTGTAGCCTACATAACTGTAACAGAATCACTCAAACACTAAAAAGGGCCTTTCAAACTATGCAAGTTACATATACTTACATACATATCCCAAATTACAAATAACTAAAACCAAGCCAGTAAATACTCAATGGAATTTTAAGGGGAAAGAATATCTATATCCAACTAAGAGCATGAGAAAAAGTAAAGTTTCTTACCTAAAGTACGTAGCAATGCAGAGAATTACCACCAACATAGGATAATATATATAGAATCCATCTGCAATAAAGGATAAAACTTTCATGGAACCCATAATCTGAAGAGCAAGAGAAGAGTTAAATCAGCATAGTTTCATATTTTCATTCCTTCCCATCATTCGAAAGTTTACCCACAGGAAGTTATATCAACAAATTACACATTTCAAAATTTAGAAACAAAGTACTTAGTATGCATTTCTTAAACTTCTTCCTGTTAAGGCTTTCTTCTAAAGAAATCTAGTATTTTATAACTACTGCAAAACCAGAGGTACTAAGATTATAAATATAAATGCTAATGCTAATATGAGACAGGTTTTTAATGCAGCACATCTAAGTAATCAATACGAAGAAAAAACAATTTTTATACTTCTAAAAGGAAAATCAGTTTCACCCCATCATTAGTAATTACACGTATAACTTTTAAGCAAAGGCTTTAGTGATAAAAAAAGGAGTTCAATAATGCTACAGAGCTTGTCTACTGACAATAGAAGATGACTCATAACACCACCTGACAAAGATAATGAACCTAAAGAGCTATACTTACAGATGTATATGCGGTTGGCTGGGTATTCTGGTGAGAGATGGATGAATCCATATGGGTCAATCCCAAGAAGTTAAGACATAAAGGGGGAGTCAAACGGCAAAATAACCTACAATGAACATTTAAAAGTACTAACTTATATATTTTAAATATAACAAAATATTTTTATATTATAGTGAAATGTATTAAAAACATTTCAGATCATTGTAACTATAATTTTTATCTATTTGCATATTATATATAGTTTAATTATCTATGTGAACTGCCCTTACTGGGGACACATTCTAAAATCCTATTAATCACATTTCCTTTAAGAACATGAGTGCCTATATACTTAACTGCAACCTCAGGGTGCCTGCTTTTAGCCTTCTGGCTAAGATCAAGTATAAAATGAGTATCTTACATTGCTATGATTGGAGAACTGTGGGCTGGAAGACTGAAAAAGTTTAAATATAAGAAAGTAATATTGACAAGGGTTCTTTTGTAGTGAGAGAAAGCTGTGTTGGTGGTGAAAGCTGTAGGAATCTACACACAAATGAAGGATGAAATGTAAGAACTAATTAAAGTCTACAGTGCTGCTAACACTAATATACAGTGTAAATTTCCTAGTGTATTATACAGGAACTACAGATGATGTCACCATGATGAAAAGCTAGAGGAAGGTTACACAGTGTATCTGTAACTTCCCAAAAATTCATGCTATAGCTTAAATATGAAACAAATGTCACAGGCTCATTTGTTGAAGGCTTCACCTTCACTGGGTAGCTCTGTTTTAGGAGATGGTATAACAGGAGGTAGGGCCTAGCTAGAAGAAGCAAGTCACCCGGTGTTATGAAAGGAAAGATACCATGTTTGGGGTCCTGTTAGTCTGTCTTTGCTTCCGAGGTACCATAAGGTGGATAGCTCTGCTCCAATACACTCTCCTTGCCATGTGTAGCCTCACTTCAGGTCCAAAACAATCAATACCAAGTAACAGTATACTAAAGTCTCTGAAACCATTAGACATAATAAATATTTCTTCCCCCAAGTAGTCTGTGGCAGGTATTTTCTAACAGCCACAAGAAACTGACCCAGTAGTTTTGATTTTTTTTATAAGACAAAGTTTTGACAATTACTTTAAACTTCCCTAGGTCTAGCCCTTATAAATACCTAATATACCTGACTAATAAGTAGCCTGAACTGATTACATATAGTAAAGCCAGCCCTCTAAATTTCTCTAGGAAAGAAATGTTCCTTTTAGTGTTCTTAGAACTTGAATTCAGTTTTAGACCACTGACTTTTAGAACACTCTTTACACTTACCATAGCCTCTAAACTCTCAATTGTTCATATACTACATTTCAAATTGGTAAATTCAGGCTCACTGTGTCTTTTTCCCTAACATAGCATTCATAATTGACCCATAAACTTCAAGCAAAATTTAGCTGGTGAGCACAAGTAGTCTTCTGATAGTTAAAAAAAAAATCAATTAGCTCACAGAAATGTATGTTCATGCAACATCCATAAACAAGAAATAAGAGAGCTACAATTAGCATTTAAAATGGAAATATTTCTTTTTTTCTAAGCTCAATTCTACTCACATGCCGCTGAAAAGAAGACTGTAAGCATCAGTCTGATGATGTGAAGCCAAGTAGTAGTAATTAAATACTCGAATTCTGAACACAGTAGAGTAAACACAGATACTTAAGAAGAAGATGGAAAGGAAGCAAGCAATCTGGAAAAATAGTTAAAACTTGATTTAAGACTTTATTACTTTATTTACTGCCACAGTAAATAAATTATCATTTGCCACAGCTATATTTACTGATGTTTTAAATATAAATATAAATACAACAATAGTGTCTTTTTTTAGTAGCTAAGATGAAATTTTGGAAATAAATCTACATTTCAACCAGTTCAACCTCTTAAATCCAAATTTTGACTCTGAGCCCTGAAGAAGGAAGCTATTTACCTATTCTCTTGACAACTCTACAGGAAGACAGTAAGTTACATAGTTTCACTGACAAAAGTGGATCAAAGCAACCTCATAAAATGCTTTTTCACTATCCTATACTTTTTCATTGATCCTTAACTACAGCTCCTAGTATTTACAGTCTGGGTAATTGATGAACACCAGTTTTGGAAGTCTGAATAACAGCACTTTGGGAAACTCCACTACTTTCACTCTTACTAGAAGAAATATATGGGGAAAGATACAACAGTCAAAGTTTTTGCGTGAACTGATATATATTTATGACCAATATGAAAAAAAAAACCGACCTCAATGTAAATATAGTTGTATGTTTTTTCTGCCAGCTGTATGAAGACTGCAAAGAGAGACAGGACAGGAGTCGTGCTAAAGAAGGTGCACTCTGACCAGACAACGATCACAGAGAAGATGGACAAAACCACAGCAAGGATCCTGTGAAACCATGGCCGCAACAGGCATTCCCAGTACCACTCTGGAAAAACAAGAAAACACAATTAGGAAAACGAAATCAGTAATAGCGCATTTATAATCTTTGGAACTAGCAGCCAATCAGACAACACGGAGAAAGGTAGCAACAAATAACCAACAGCAATGTACAAACTGATATCCCACGTGCTTCCTGCTCTGATGTAACTGAGGAGAGCATGACATCACCTTTGTGGTATTCCTGCAAATGATACATAAACTGTATCTAATCATGAGGACATGGCAAACTCCAACTTGGGGACAATCAGTAAAGAACTAGCCTATGCTATCCATAAACATCAATGTTTATAAAATACACAGAAGCTAAAACACACAGGACAGAACTGTTCCAGATTTTATTTAAAAGACTAAGAAATATGACAATTGAATACAGTGTGTGGGCTTTAGATTTTTAAAGAATATCAATGTCATAATTAAGCAAAATATGCATAAGGTATGTAAGTAATAGTAAATTATTAATATTAATTTTCTAATTATTTTAGAGTTACACTTGAGAAGCTGTATTTTTAGAAAGTATTCACTGAAATTCCTAGGGGACAAAAGGCCTCATGTATGGATACAGGTCTGAAAGACTAAGGAAAAATATATGTAGAGAAAGAAAGCAAATTAATCTAATAAAATGTTAACATATGAAGAACCTCATTAAATGAAAATAGTTTGTGAAGTTCTGGTTTCATTGTCTGAATTTCAGTAAAAAATAAAGGTTCAAAGAAAATCAATTAAAAAAGATCTCTATCCATTCCATTGAAGACCGAACCCATGGTTAGTGTGCCCTAAACATATCTACCACTGGGTTACAGCTTGCAACTATATATTTTCACTTCATTTATTGAAAAGCTAAGGTCCAGGCTCAGTCTTTTCCACTGTACCCTCAGCGTAATTCCTGATTATTTAAACATCCACCCAGATAACTCTTTCTTCATTGCCTTCATCTCCTCTCTTCTAATGAGCTCATCTTCTAATACCCCTCTATAACCTGGTTACTCATTCCAATGGTCTTTCCTAAACCTTTTATTGCTAACAACAGCAACCTTTCTATGTAGCTCAATCCCATCATCCTCATCCCCAAGCAGTACCTTCATCTGCATCCAATCATACTGACTATCAGGACAAACACAACACTTCCTCTTTTACCTCTTTACTGTTACTGAACAATTTGAATGTCCTTCCTTCCTTTCCCAGCTCAGATTCCAGTCTTTGAGGATAACTACTCCCCAGTCCCAATTCCTTTACCCTCTCTTGCTTCACTGTATATGTTTGGTTAACCCACCCTGTTTGACCAACTCCTTGGTTACTCTGAGTCTGTATACATGTACACTGCAGATGAAAGGCCCATCTTTACTGACTATTCTCACTTTAAATTAATGCCTATTTCAAACAAACCCTTAGCACAGCTGGACAGCTTCCTGTAATTCTCCATTTCCCCGTGACTATTTTGTACCTTCTTGAACACTCTCCTCTGTATTTATTGTCAGTACATTCCTAAGAGAGTATAAGCGGTCAGATGACTTACCAACATTTTTACTACTTTTTCTCACACTAAAGCTATATGTCTGTCTGTCTCACCTCCTAAATGCAAGGCTATTCTGTTCATTGTTCACTATTTTCCATCTCATCTCCATTATCTGTGAATACTGCTCCAGAGTTCTCTACGGCTTCAGTAATTTCCAGCTCTATGATATTATTCTCCAGTTATAAGCTATGCTTCAAGCCCCCCCCCGCACACACACATACCTAGCCACTGACCATAGCTATTACCCCTTTCTGTTTCTTTTTAGTATTTATTCATTTATTTATTTTTGGTCTCTAAGCATGTTTGATCATATATGCAAATTGGTTTATAATTATATTTTGCATGTGTATACATATTTAAAATCATAGGCATAAATATATTAAGAAACTTCAAAAAAACTTTCAAAATAATCATTGTGTTGAGAAAAATGCTACCAAATATTATGGAGACAATATTTTAAATTCTGTTGATGAATTTGTAGAAATTTCTGTTAATATTCAGAATGCTTAGCTTTCAAAGCATAGCTAATTATTTATACTATCAATAGTCCAAGCCATGATACACATTTATAGTGAGATTCATTGTTAGTAAGAATGGATATTATAACTTATTTTGTAATCAAATACTTTATCTGTAAATCTTTTTTTTTTTTTTTTTTTTTTTAAATATCACAGCTCTTACATCTATAGCTCAGGAACATCATGGAAGAGGAAGCAGAAAGAATGTAAAGACCAGAATACCAGGAAGTCCATAGTGAAACAATCTTTCCTATAAATGGCTATATCAAAAGTCTGGAACAATGGTAATATCAATGGACATGTTAATTTAGAAGAAGAAAATGTCATGGGGTCCCACCCCTAGACAAAGAACTTCAAGCAACCAATGACTTCTGGGAAAAGGGGAATTAGAAGTAAAACAATTATTTTGGCGTAAGTTTATCAGATATCCGCCTGCCTCCGCCTTCCAAGTGCTGGGATTAAAGGCGTGCGCCACCACCGCCTGGCCCCAGATATCTAATATTACCCTATGGAGCAAATCAATATACAAATAAAAGTCAATATTATATTGATGAAACATACATTTTTCCTGTAGAATAATCATCAAATTTGGAATTTATGTCAAACTACATACCAACTGTAGGATTATAAAAATATTGGATAAATCGATTTTCTGGCTCAGGTGACTGAAAGGTGTGAACAAACTGATGAGTTGCACTAGTTTCATTTTTTGCTACATCTTCTAGATAGAATGCCTGTTCCAAAAGAATTTGCCATTGCACTTGAGTTCGACGGTGTCTTTGAACAGAATAAATAACCTTAAAAACAGAAGAGGGATAGGCCTGTCAGTATGATTGAATAGTGGGTCAACTTTCTGCTAGAGAATGGGAGGTTGTCTGTCTTTGTCTTAATAAAGTATTACTAATGGCATTTTCTAAATGTGACCAAGGATGTTAATGTTCTGAAATGACAAAATTCTTCCTCATAATAGAACAGGTATAATTCTTATAACCAATTGCCAAGAGTATCCTTGTCCAGAAACACAAACATTTCAACAATGATAAGAACAAGATCAATAGTTTTGGATATATACTTCATTTGCATGCATACATGTTTGGGGATGGGGATGCTCGAATGTATGATTGTGGGCATGTGGAAGACAGAAGGTAATATGAGGTGCCTTCCCCAACCATTTCCACCTTAGTTTTTGACACACAGTCTCTCACTGAACCTGGCTCTTGCAGATTAAGCTAACCTGGCCAGTAGTCCGCTTAGCTCAGCCCCTGAGCACTGGAAACAGGTGCACACCACTATGCCTGGCTTTTTACATGGGTGCTGGAGATTAAGCTCAGCTCCTCAGACTTCAGTTGCAAGCAGTTTAACTGCTGAGTCACCACACACAGTCTTTTTATCTGAGCAGTAATTATACATCTAATTCACGTCCTCTAATTATATGTAAAATACTACAATTAATAATTAAGGTTACCTGTTTATGCAATTTTACCAAGCTTTTTTCACTTGGGTAGGTATTACGCTTTTCATCAAAATCTTCATAATCATCCATATTTCTACCCATCTTTTCCTGATAATCTGTAGGGCACTAAAAGAAAAAACATTTTATAAAATTTAATAAATCATTAGTAAAATTTACTAAATCTTTAATACAATTTTATTTTCATTAAAAAATCTTTCATTCTGGAAAAATTTAATTTTCTCAAAAATATTTTTGTTTTATTAACATCTAATCGTTAGATTTTTTTCACTAGCTAACATTTTCAAAAAAACATTTCAAAAGTATGTTAAGTTTCTTCTTACTTCTATTAATATTTCTCTTTATGCTTAGATATACTAGCTGGAGACTGGGAAAGGCAAGAGAGCTTACCTACATGAAGTAACAACTATTTGAGAGGATTATTCTAATAATAGGCACCTAATGAAACTTCAATTATTTTCCTAAATAATAAAGAAGAATCATGAAAAATTTAACATGCAAAAGTTCTGAAAGCCACAGCATGCAGAAAGAAATATATAATTAGGATTATCTGCCATACTGCCAGTTAGTTATTACCTATATGGAATTGTGCAAGTTCATTAACCTTTCTAAATAGGCCTCAAAAATAGCAAATATGAGAGAAATGGTTAGAAAATTTATGACTATAATTTTAACTAGAGGAACAGTAGCTAATAATAACCAGTAGAACAGATTTAGAATACAGGAGAAGAAAAAATTCAGTGGTAACTTGGGTATATAAAGGTAATTGTGGAATTGTTCAAATAATTATTTTAGAAGCATAGAAATACACTTGCAATTCAGTACAGCTCCATCAAAATCATAGCAATATGGCTTATTTATTAAATATCCATGTTATTTATTTCATAACACATATCATAAAATTACATGTGAGAAACTGATTGCAAGAATTGCTGAGACCTCCATTTACTTTCCTCCAGGAGAGAGCCTTTAATGATAACACACGATGGTACAGTAAAGATGTACCTCCGGCACCATACCATGCAATAATTGCAAGTTACTCAACATTATTGTTATTTTCACATTTCAAGGGAAAATGCTGTCAATAATTACCACCAAACTTACAACAGCATAAGAAAATTTCTACATATAATTTATTCTGTGTTTATGGTAAAGATTTATATGAGAATCCATCTGGAAACCTCAATCATATGTTTTTTATCATACTTTTCTTATGTGAAATATTAATTTATAGTAGAATATAAGATATATTCACAAGAAATAGAGGAAATATTATAATATGATTACCTTTTTAAGTATTGTATCAACACATTTTCTCAATGGGTGGTTATACTTAATGCTTTCATTTACTTTACGAACCTCCTATAAAAACAGTGAGAAAAATAAAAATATTTAGAGTTCTATAAATCAGACATTTTAAATGATAATAGCACTAAATACTATTATGTCTCAGATTTTAACTTCAACACAAATTATTTTGCATTATAATAAAAGTTATTAAGAGCAGGTGTAAAATTACAAAGTATTCAAGTAGCTGTATTTATATTCTTGCTATTTTATAAATTTCTAAATTTATTCTCTATTGTTTGCTTACTTCATACAATAAATGCTAAGCATTATTTATTTAACAGTTCAAAAGTCTGTAATACATGTGTATATAAATATACATACATAGTTTAAAAGAAATTTTCCCATCTGGGCTGACAATGCTCCCTCCAAGAGCCAAAAATGATCTAACAAAAACCTCAACACCAGGTCTGAGAAGTCCCTTTCTGAGTTGTTGGTCAGGGTTAAGTTAGTGTTATTACTTTTGAATCTCTATTGCTATGAGACAACTTGCACTTAAGACACAGGGCTCAGAAGCCCCTGAACTAAAACTGATTTGAAAGTTTTGTCCTTGAGGACTAGCTTTCTTTCATGGTTCCAGAAGATGCCATGAAAGCTTCCAAAGAAGAGAAGTGATCACCAGTCCTACCCAGCTATGATGCCTATGAACCATGACAATGAACGTCATGGCATAGTAGCAACTTTCCTTATACTCAGAGTCAAATGTAGTCCTCACTTCTCATCAAAGAAACTTCTTTTTGCAACAGAAAACCACAATGAATCAAATGCATAGTTTAGAGCCAATTCCCAAAGGATACATCTACAATATAACCTTCTCACCTACAGGCTTAGGGATCACTGTTGATGAGGGAAGGGGAAGGAGTGGGGAGGGGAACGAGAGAAAGATTATAAGAGGCAGAGGATCAAAGAGTTGCTGTGAGGTTGTGTCTCCTAGGATTGTCAGAAGCTACACCCATAAAGTCTCACTAATCTGACTGCATAAACATGAGCTGAACAAGAACAACAACAAGAGGCATGCTAATGTGGTTTCAACCCTACACAAAGAGCAAGCAGCAATAAGGAATGCTGAGAGTGGGATGAATAAATCTTCCCAGGGAAGAAAGAGCACACCAACTGGTTATTCAATACCAAGTGGTGAGTTGTGAAAACCTAAATACAAATAACATTATACAGACTAAGCAGCTTGTAGTTAGACTATGTATGATTACACATACATAACAACAAATTTATGTAATGACAATTAATGTATGTAACAACAATTAATAAAGAAAGAAGCCATGAATTTGAAAGAAAGGAGAGCAACTGGGAATGTTTAGAGTGAACAAAGGAAAGGGATAACGGATGTAATTATATTATAATCTCAAAAAAATAATAAGAATTCACAAAGGATCTGTCAAGTTTTATGTTTCTAAGAGAACAGGATTAAATTATTCCACTTTGCTGATTAAAATCAATGATCTCATTATCAATTAACTTCAGTTACTATAGAAAGCAAAAAAGACTTAATGCTTCACAAAGCACCCACTGCTTCCCAATAACAGTATTCTAGAGTAATTACAACTTACTGGCTGGTTCCTGGTTTACTGAGACCACACTATGTGTTGGCAGTGTGCTGTGACAGTCCATATTGATTGTCAACTCCCCAGCATCAAGAATCACCATAGAAATAAATCTATGGCACATCTGGGAGGGATTTTCTGCATTGTGTTAACTGAGGTATAAAAAAAATTCCATGGGCTGGGGGTGTAGTGTGCATTTAAAGGAGAAAGCTAACCTACTACTCTCTGCTCGCCGATGTAGACACACTGTCAACAACTGTTCCATGTCTTCCGGCCATGAGGCACTATACCCTCAGACAAAATTGTGAGCCAGGATAAATCCTCTCTTCCTTGTAGCTAGAGTTTTCCTGCCTTGCCTACAGTCAGGACAAATCTTTGTCACCCGCCAGTCCCACAGCTGCTCAGACCCAACCAAGTAAACACAGAGACTTATATTGCTTACAAACTGTATGGCCGTGGCAGGCTTCTTGCTAACTGTTCTTATAGCCTAAATTAATCCATTTCCATATATCTATACCTTGCCACAAAGCTCATGGCTTACCAGCATCTTCACATGCTGCTTGTCATGGCAGCAGCTGGCAGTGACTCCTTCCGCCTTCCTGTTCTTTCTTTTCTCCTCTCTGTTAGTCCCGCCTATACTTCCTGCCTAGTCACTGGCCAATCAGTATTTTATTTATTGACCAATCAGAGTAATTTGACATACAGACCATCCCACAGCACTTCCTTAAACTGCTTTCCACAGGTATTTTATCACGACAACAAGAAAAATAACTAATGTAGAAATCTGGTATAAGTGGGATCATTATTGTGATAAACCTGACCACATGGCTCTTTGAAACTGTGCCCTAGAGAGGTCTACATCTGCTACAAGCAAAGCTTAATGGACCATTCTGGGAGTTCAGAAGACAAGAATATGGAGAGAAATACAGATGTGGAGGACCAACTGATGAAGTTTCAGAGGGAATCAAGGGCACTATAAGGATCTGGGCCAGAAGCTAGGCTTGCTTCATTCTGGCATAGAATCTGGCTGTATTCTGCCCAAGTCCTGAGACGTTGAACAACGCAGAATTTAAAGGTAATGGACTACTTTAATTAATTTATTTATTGTAAACACAACATATGTAAACTTAGGTAAAACTGTGATTTCATATGTAACTTCCTTTCTTTATTGCTTGAGAATTTCACACATATATCTAATGGGTTTTGGTCAAATCCATCCCTCATTCACTTTAATTCCTCCCTTATGCTTTCCACCATTTCTTCCTCACTTCATGAGCTTTTTTCCTTACATCCACTGAGTCCACTTAGTGCTCCCTGTATATACATGGAAGTAGGAACATCCATGGGAGTATGGGTAGCCTCTCAGGGGTCATGTCCTTGAAGAAAACCCCTCTCCTTATCCCTGTAGTGATGAATTACCAAAACAGCTCCTCAGCTATGGGTGCGACTTCATAGCCCTCCCCCATTTATGCTGGGATTCTGGCTAGTTTGATCTTATGGGTGTAATCACAGCAGCTGGGAGTCCGTGTGGACTAATTTCTTTGGTGGAGGAAATTTCAAGAGAGCATAGCATTCAAATTGTGCCATGACTATTGCTCACTGTTTTCATTCAGTTCTATGGTGAGAGATCAAAAAGATATGGATTGGGTTTGTGAAGAAAAGTATATGAACTATAAAGTTAGAGGGATTAGGAAGAAGTTCTGAGGACAAGAACTCTTACACTGGAGATTCTATGAAAATACAAAATCATTTGAAAAGAGAGAGCCTGAACTAAGAATACCACTAATGGGGTTTCCTATCCAGAAAAAATACTCGAAGCAGACAGAAACCACAGCAGCAATGATCCAAAGGGGATGGGCTTCATCTTGACCTGGTAGTAGAACTTGGCATGAAGGATGAAAGAGTGAAAGGGTCACAGAGGCATGTGCATAGGTTCCAGAAGGCAACTGAGGACAGGCAGTGTGCGGCAGGGTCAGAGTCCCTTAAGAAGGCTCTCTGGAGCCACTTGTATGAAACCGGGAGGGTAAAGCCTAAGTTGAAATGGAAACTCAAGGATGTTGGAGATGCTAGGACCACGGGAAGTCTACAAAGGAAAGCACTGTCATATACCAGACCAGTCCAAGAGAGAGACTAAGTGTGTTCCAAGTGGCAGAGCTGGAGGGGAGGGGCTATGCAAGCTCTTTAGAGCCCAGATAATTCCATCATGAGCCCAGCTATCTGACCCGAATTACAAGATTTAGTACTTTCCTGTAGCATTGGTCTTGCTTTGGTATAAACTTTCCTTACTATGCCCCATTCTTTCCTTTTGGGGTGGGAATGTTTAGTCTGTGCCATCAAATGTATGTACTTCTTTTTGATTGTACAGGGACTCACACTTAAGAGATTGCTCACATCTCAGAAAAGACTCTGAGCTTACACTTTTGAACAATGTTAGAACTGTTAAAAGACTATGGAGACTTTTGAAGTTAGACTTAATGTATTTTGCATTATGAGATGACCACAAGCCCATGGGGACAAAGAGTAGAAGGTTCTAGCTTAAAAGTGATCTGTTTGGATATCACATTGACAATGGGTAGACTTGTGATGGCCTACATTGATTGCCAACTTGATAAGATCTGGAATGACCTTGGAGACAGATCTACAAGCATGTCTGTGAAGGATTTTCTATGCTAGGTTAAATGAGGTGGGAAGACCCAGCTTAAGTTAGACTGAATAAACAGGAGAAAGTAAGCTATGCAGCAACATTTCTTGCTCTGCCTCCTGACTGGACACCCTGCGGCCTGACACTCCTATCACATACCTTCCTTGCCATGATGGACTATTCCTTCAGATTGTTAGCCCAAATACTCTCGTCTTTCTGTAAGTTAGTTCTGTCTGTTATTTTATCACAGCGATGAGAAAAGTAACCAATGCAACAAGGGATTGTCAGTCAATTTCACTGACTAAAATTAATATATGGTGATAAGTATTTTAATGAATACTAAAAGGCATAAAAGAAAAGAGGAAATGGTTTGGTGGGTAAAGTAATGCTATGCCAGCATGAGGATCTCAGTTCATATCCCCAGAACACATGTAAAAAGTCAAGGGTAGTGATGCTCTCTCATAACCCCAGCACTGGGAAGGTGGAGACAGAGGGGATCGCTGAAACTCAATGGCCTGCCAGTCTAGCTGAATCAATGAGCTTCAGGTTCACGGGGAGACTATCTCAAAAAATAAAAGTGGACATCAACCAACAAAAGATGTACAATATTGACCTTGGGCCTCCAAATGTGCACACATATGAACAAACACATACTAACAAGTAACCACACACAGAGAGGCAGGTATAGGTTAGGAACAGTCTTTGGAATTAGTATGTCCTAGTTATCAAAATATCCTATAATATTTATGAAATAAAATTATGAAAATAAATAGTGTTGGAACCACTATTCTATAAGCAGAAGAAAACAAATAAAACAAAACAAAAAACTCCGCATGCCACAGTCCTGGAATAAAGAGAGAACAAAGGGGATTTTAAAAGAACATTTGAGGTATTAGAGAAGGGCTTTATGTGATAGGTAATGAGAAGCAGAGAAACCATCTGATATACTAAGAAAATTATGAAAAAAATTATATGACATAGTCACCTTAAAATGTGAAGCTTTCTTGTTAGCAAACATAAAAAATGAGAATACAGAATAGAATTAGCCTATAAATATGTAAAAGGATTTTCAAGCTTCCATAAAATTATAACTCCAAATGAGTTTTCTTATAAAATTATAAAACATTTATATCATGTAATAAGATAAGCTCATACCAAAACCAACATCATATATAGTAAAAGTGTATGAATTTGGAGAGTAATTTACCAGAAACCATGAAAACCCAATGTATTTATACTGTGAATAATTGATACCAACAGACAGTGCTCCTGTAAGGCACCTAGCTTACTGAGGAAAACAGACAATTAAACAAAAAAAAAGATATAGAAATGCTATAAAGTGCAGGATGTTCTGAATGAGACAATTCAGTTTAGGAGTCTTTTGGATGAACTGATCACTTAAAGTCAGACAAAACAAAATGAGTAAGAGTAGGTCAACTCCAAGGAGGAGCAAGCATATTCTAAGAGGGACAAGAACAGTGAGTACCAAGGTCTCCAGACGGAAGAAAATGAGCTGTATCACAGAAAGGGCAGGATGACTGCAGAGAAAAGGACAATAAAGGCCTGGTGAGCATGTGATCAGGCTGGAAAAACAACAGCCAAGACCTCCCAGAAATCCTACTAGCAATTCATTTTGAAACATGTTTGTTCTAAATACATGTCTGGTAAGATTAGATTTAATCTTTATTTTTAGATTTTTGACTTATTTTACTTATTTTTTAATTATTTTGAGACAAAGTTTCTCTATATAAGCTCATTCTGGACTTGAATTTGTTACATAGCTCAGGCTGGCCTTGGAGTCACTTTCCTGATTTATCAGGAATTCCAAGCATCTTTGCTACTACGCCCAGATCACACACATGTTTCCCAAAGGTCACACTGGATGCTATTACATTATATCTTTCCATTTCTAAGTTGCCTTCAAGTTTGTAGTTAGCTCAAATTTACTTACTTTAAACATTAACTATATAACCTAACTATATATGTGAAATAGTATGTTTTCCCTTGAAATTATTTAGCCCCATTAAACAAAAGCAGGGACTGAAACAGTTAACTTTTCACATTTGCTATCTGGTATAAAGTTAAGGTTTACTCAACCATTAATTTTTAAGGTTTGGGAGGCATTTGAAATATTAGCTTGTTTAGGAGGCCTTACCCGCTAAACTTCCTGGTATTTGATTAGAATCTTGTTAGCTATCACATTCTAGCAATTCTTCAAATCCCTGATCAAATTTTTTTTCTGATCTCTCTCCAGATTTTGTGAAGCCTCGCCATATTAAAACACTTCCAGTATACCATCCACTTTTATTATATACAATAAGGGAATGAACAGAAGTCTTCTGTTCTAGACAGGTAAGACAGTCATGGGCATAGTTCTGCTATCTGTGTAGAAGAGTTGTTTTTTCCAAACATCCATTAAGAAAGAATGCTGTCAGCCAGACATGGTAGTACAGGCCTATGATCTCACCCTAACCTGCATAATGGCATAGTAAGATCCTATCTCAAATAAAAGAAGACTGAAGAAAGAGAAGGAAGTAGGGAAGGAAGGAAGGAAGAAAGAAAGAAGCGGTGGGGAAAGAATAGGAAGGAGAGAAGAGGTGAGGGGGAGGGAAGGAGAGGAAAAAAGGATGTCTTCTGTTTTACATGGAAATTTTTTTCTTATAAAAAAATATTTAACTCCTACCACTTGCTACTGATGAATAGTACACTGAAATAAAACACAAGGCACAATGCCAGCTTTTAATTTTCATGTCCTATCCCTAAGAGATCCTATCTAATAACAGAACATCTCTCTCTTTCATTCAGACATCCCTGGTTCATCTGAGCTGGCCTGAAACCCCAGCTGCTCAGGAGGCTGAGGCAGCTGGATCACAAGTACAAGGTGAGTTCATAGCCTAGGTAGACATCTTTGGAAGACCTGTCACGATCTGAGAAAAATCAAAAATAAAAAGTAAAGAAGAGGTTGGGGATATAGTACAGAGTTATGCAACCACTGAGTGTATGTGACACACTTGCTTCAATCCCTAGGACTGTAAGTGAATAAAAGACTCTGAAACAATACATTTGACTTGTATTTGCTGTAAATGAACTGGCAAAATCCAAATTCTTCATATCTGCAACAACTAATTTAATACCAACTCTTGGGCTGAACACTATAAGTAAAAATTATCTTTTTTCATCACATGTAAATGTTTAATCAAATTTAAAACTTTAAATACTTATAGATTTTCTTCAGAAGTGTCAAATTGTATACCTACCAAACTAAATGTAAAAATATTCATCATGGCTCTCAGAAGAAACTGACTTTGAAACCTAGTTCTTAGAGACAACAAGGCTGTCTGAGCTACCCAGTCTGTGGTACTTAAGTCATAGCAGCCTCATGTTGCTAATACAGAAGGCTTCCTGAAGAATTCTTGTTTCTCAAGACATGAAAATGAAGTAAGTTGGGAACAGAAAGTTCAGAGACAGAAAAAAGGATTACAGTTAAGATTCGGGGGTCATCACACTGAAGCAAACCCAGTCGTCTCCCACCTGTCTCAGACTGAGATACAGGCTTGCCCCCATTAACTTCCATACTCTCCAGTTGCTTTCAGACCACATTCACCAAGCAACCACAGCAGAGACCACATGGCAACAAAGCCTCAAACATTCACCATCTGGCTCTTCATATTTTAAGTGTGAACTAAAGTTAAATCTCTGGCTCCTCTTATTAGCTAGGTGTACAGAAGGAAGTTATTTCAACTCCCAGGACTTCATTTATAAAATGGGGATTAAAAAAGAAAATGTCTTTTGTGAAGTTGTAAGAATTAAATAAAGTTGACCCTTGAAAAACAAATTTGAACCATGCAAGTCCACTTGCATACATACTTCTTTTTCAAATCTCTGACAAGTTAATAAAACTCACAAAGGATCAGCACAACCTAGAAATGTTGAACAACTTTTCAAATTAGGTGCTATTGACAAATAATATGTGTGTGTGTGTGTGTATACATACATACATAGATATTTTACTATCATAAAATAGACATCTACCACAAAAGTGGAAATTGATCTGTATTCATTGACAAAACATTTACAGACCACACATGGCACCATTTGCAGTCAAGAGAACAGTCAACAGAGACAGAGTATTAGGTCAGAGTCACTTTTGTAGGATTAAATTTGCTTACCTCCATTACATCCTCCAAATTCTCTTCTGCATCTGCTTTCTCTGTCATCAGTTTTGCTGCCTTAAAGTAAGTCTTCATAAGTAGATAACCCCTTTTGGCTCCATTCCAATATGACCGAGGAATCTCCACCAGGCCATACCCCAATAATAAGACAAGAAGAAAGAGACCCCATGTGTTAGCAGCAGCTATCCCAATAGTCTGAAGTTGGTTCCTAAGAAATAGAAAACATAAGCAGATATCTGTGATAAATATAAATTTTCAGAAAACTGACCAAAAGGATAAGTAGGATTTCATATGAAGAAATTTTCAACTCTTCTTTTCAGTCACAGCAGATAATCCATGTATTGTAATGTAAAGTCAGAATATGACTGTAAAAATAGACTTTAATATGGGAAACACTGGTTCAATTATACTCAAAATTAGAATATAGGATAATTCATAGCACACAAACACACACACACTTCCTCCACAGGAAACATTTTTCACTAGGTGCTTTCTAAGTTAATATTAACTGTGAGACCTCTATAAACAGTTAAATTAACTTGTGTTATTGTTGACTTACACCAACAATGAAACCAATCTCTACTACTCTACACATAAATTTAGGGATAACATATACTAAAAATCATATACAAAAAATGATTTTAATTTATTGAAATACTTGAATACCTAAATACCTAAAATAACATTAAAGAAAACTATTCTGTCAAACTACAACAAGACAAACAGGAAAAAGAAAAATAAGTTCCTGTGGGGGGAAAATTCATTTGAGCATTTATAAAATGCTCAAAATTTATAAAATATAAATTGAATTTCTATTAAAAATATTGTTTTTTACCATACATTTATTTGTCAAAACATTAATCCACCACCTAATAGCTATGTTTAAACATGTCATTCTTGATTTTGTTTCTTAGTAATATGCATTATTCAGATATTCTTTGTATTGTTTGTATTAAATTCAGTTGTATTTAAACACGTCATTCTCGATTTTCTTTCTTAGTAATATGCATTATTCAGATATTCTTTGAGGGGTATCTATAAGACATATAATCTGGCAAGTGTGTCTGTTTACTTTTATGTATACACTAAAAGTTAATTGAAAACAGTACAAACATACACAGAACAATGTTAAAAAAAGACTACTTTTCTTACCATTCTAAATGCAAACGTGGGTTTACAGCCACATAAATTAGAAATGCTCCAAATATCAGCAAGTAAGTGCCATAATAGATTGCATTCTCAATCAGGGCTGTTTTTATCTTTCCAGTGATGGAAAACCCTCCAGATCTTGCATATGACTGCATAAAAGGTAACAGAATCCTAGTTTGATGGAAAATATGATTAAAAACTCAATTATGTATCTGCATAATTTAAAAATACCCCAAATACATGAAACTCAATGTATAATTTTCCTCCCCAATAAATTTTATTATGAGTAATTACATGTTAATACTGAATGAACCATGATAAATAATTTTTTTCTTTTTCTTTCTATTTTTTTTTTTTTTTTTTTAGTTTTTTGAGACAGAGTTTCTCTATGTAACAGCCCTAGCTGTCCTGGAACTCACTCTGTAGACGAGACTGACCTTGAACTCACAAAGATCCACCCGCCTCTGCCTCCTAAGTGCTGAGATTAAAGGTGATAATTATTTTTACAATACTTAATTTCAGGAAAAACAAAGATACTAAAGCAGGAGACAGCAAATGAGGCTGCAATGGCACGATCGACTTCAGATTCTCTAAAAGGTCTAAAATTAGGCCTTAGTGCCCTCAGGAAGAGGTCAGAGTTGTGGTATATGACTGTAATCTTAGCACTTGAAAAACGGAGACAAGAAGATTGCTGACTTTGAGGACATAGTTAGATCCTGCTTCAAAAACAAAGACATAAATAACAATATAATTCCTTTAGAGTGACTTTGGACTACATCCACAGAATGAAGAAACTTGATTTTTTTTTTTTAAAGCACAGGATTTCAGATGGGGTGAAGATCTGCTGGGCGGGGGTGTGAGGGGGCTCAGTCCTGTGGATCCAGGACTTCAGGACCTCCACAACACAGTGCATAAAAACAGACAGGTGGATCAATGAATCGAACTGAAGACCCTGATGCAAATCCACACACCTATGAACACCTGATTTTTTTATAAAGAAGCCAAAATTATACAATAGAAAAAGAAGAGTGCATATTCAACAAATAGTGCTGGTAAAAACAAAAACAACAGCAACAACAACAACAAAAAAATAGTGCTGGCATAACTGGATGTCAACATGTAGAAGAATACAAATAGATTCCTATCTATTGCCATGCACAAAACTCAAGTCCAAATGGATCAAAGACCTCAACATAAATCCAGTTACACTGAACCTGATAGAAGAGAAAGTGGGAAGTAGTCTTGAACGCATTGGCACCAGAGATCGCTTCCTAAATATAACACCAGTAGCACACACCCTGAGATCAACAATTAATAAATGGGACCACATGAAACTGAAAAGCTTCTGTAAGGCAAAGGACATCATTAGTAGGGCAAAACAGCAGCCTAAAGAATGGGAAAAGATCTTCACCAACCCCACATCTGAGAGAGGGCTGATCTCCAAACTATATAAAGAACTCAAGAAATTAGACATCAAAAAACCAAATAATCCAATTTAAAAATAGGATACAGCTCTAAACAGAGAATTATCAACAAGAGAATCTGAAATGGTCAAGATACACTTAAAGAAATGTTCAACATCCTTAGCCAGGGAAACCCTAATCAAAACGACTCTGAGATTCCATCTTACACCTCTCAGAATGGCTAAGATAAAAACACTAATGACAGCTTATGTTGGAGAGGATGTGGAGTAAGGAGAACACTTCTCCACTGCTGGTGGGAGTGCAAACTTGTACAGCCACTTTGGAAATTGATATGGCGGTTTCTCAGAAATTTGGGAATCAATCTACTTTAAGACCCAGATATATCATTCTTGGGCATATACTCCAAGGAAGCTCAATCATACCTCAAGGACACTTGCTCAATTACATTCATAGTAGCATTATTTGTAATAGCCAGAACCTGGAAACAACCTAGATGTCCCTCATCCGAGGAATGTATAAAGAAAATGTGGTACATTTACACAAAGAAATATTACTCAGCTGTTAAAAAACAATATCATGAAATTTGAAGGCAAATGGGAACTAGAAAAAAATCATCCTGAGTGAGGTAACCCAGACCCAGAAAGACAAACATGGTATGTACTCACTCATAAGTAGATATTAGGTATAAAGAATAACCATACTATAATCTACAACCCAAGAGAGGCTATAGAACAAGGAGGGCTCAAGGTAGGACACCTAGTTCTCCCTGGGAAGGGGAAATAGAAGAGATTTTGTGGGTGGACTGGAGGCAGGCGGGCATGGGAACATGAGGATCAGATTGGGGGCAGTAGAGGAGGAGGGTACTGAAAGAGACAACTGGAATATTGGGGGCAGCATTTAAGGGTTAGGCAGGAACCTGGTGCAAGGGAAACTCCCACAAATATACAAGGATGACCCCAGCTAAGACTCCTAGCAGTAATGGATAGGTAGCTTGAATTGGCCTTTTCCTGTAATCAGATTAGTGACTACTCCAAATGTCATTGGTGAGCCTTCGTCCAGTAACTGATGGGAACAGAATCAGAGTCCACAGCCAATCACTAGGCCAAGCACCGGGAACCCTGTTGAGGGAGGAAGGATTGTATGAGCTAGGGGGCGGGGGAGGCTGTCAAGATCATCACAAGGATACCCACAGAAGTAACTGGCCTACTCATAGGAGCTCAGAGACTATAGACTGACAGCTAGGGAGCCTGCATGGGACAGGCCTAGGCCCTCTGCATATCTGTGATGGTGTGTGACTTGGTCTACTTGTGGGACTCCTGGCAGGGGGAACAGGGCCTGTCTCTAACACTTTGGCTGGCTTTTGGGAACCTGTTCCTAATGCTGGGTCACCTTGCCCAGCCTTAATAAAAGGGGAGGTGCTTAGTCCTACTTCAACTTGATATGCCATCCTATATTGGCAGCCATGGGAGGCCTGCCCCTTTCTGAACAGAGATGGAGGAGGGTGGATTGGGAGGGAGGTGGGGGAGAGGAATGGGGAGAGCTGAAGTAGGGATGTAAAATAAATGAAAAAATTTAATTAATTTTTAAAAAAGGATTATCATGGATTGAGGAATAAAGTAACGGTAAGCAAATGGAGACATCAACTGTTTTGTGATTTTCCTCTTGGAATGTTCACCACATCCAGTTTGAGCGCTTAGTGGCCTGCAGAATATCTAAGAAAGGATCAGAAGATAGAAGATAACTGGGAGTCTAAAGCACAGAAGAAAGATAAACTATAATGGGTAGAAAAATAGACTTGGAGTACATTACTGGTTATTAAAATCACAGCTGTAATTGATGCTCTGTGGGGACAGGCAGACAAGATGACTAAGCATAAGGCTCAAGGGAAGACCAACATTTAGGAACTGGGTCACAGAAATAAAGGAAATGTCCATGAAGGAAATTAGAATGTATGAGTAAGCAGGCAGGCCTAGAGGGTGGGCCCCTATTGCTAAAGACACTGCACAGTTAGGAACCAAGACTTGGTTATTTGAGCTGGATCTAACCTGAAAGCTTCTTTCCTTCAGTCTAGCCTGCTTCAGTAAATACTATGCAAAATGCCAAGAGAGGGAAACAATTAAATAGTCCTACCCAACTGCAACATCTATGAATCAGAATAATAACCAGCATGGCAAGATGTCTGGAATAGTGCAGTAAATGGCACTCACATTTGTTGGTGGTAACCAACATTTGTCTAATTGGACTTAAGGCCACTCAACAGGAAGGAAATGATGCCTGGTACTGAAAACCTTGCCAGCTTCCGAAGGCTAGTGAGGACATGTACATTACAGAACAATCTACTACTGCCACTTTGCTAGGCCAGCATAATTCCTTATTATATTATAAATCTTATCCTTATACCCACAGATTGGTGTAGCTACCACGCCTCATCAAAGAAGCTTCTCTTCCAGCAAATGGAGACCATTACAGAAAAACACAAATGGACACAATGCAGATGAAGAGACTGAGGGGAGCCCAGCCCCAACCCAGTCTCTATCACAGCTCTTGTATCTATGTCTCAGAGGTCATTGTGGTAGAGGAAAGATTTTTAAGAGATAGAATACCAGGAAGTCTGTGGTGAAACAGTCTCTTCTAGAAATAGATGCATAAATAAATTCCTCATGTTGTGGTGTCCCCAGCCATAAAATTATTTTCATTATTACTTCATAACTGTAATTTTGCTGCTATGACTCCTAATGTAAATGTCTGTGTTTTCTGATAGTCTTAGGTGACCCCTGTGAAGGGTTGATCAACTCCCTGTAGGTTGATCATGACCTACAGATTGAGAACCACTGCTCTAGACAAGAACTACAAATAATGAATGACTGCTGGGAGAGGGAGAATTAGCCTCTCCCAAGGATAAGTTCCCTTGCTGGTTGTCCAATGCACAGTGTTCAATCCTGTAACCATATATATAAAAACAAAAACTGACTTATCAGGTAGTATGTAACAGTAGTAATCAAAGAATAGAGGCTACCAACTTGAGAGTTGGGGTGGAGGTGTGGTATAGGTGTGAGAGAGGGTGATTGGGATAGCCTGGAGGGAAGAAAGGGAGAGAGGAAGCTATGTAATTCTATTTCAATAAAAAAGATATTAAAGAAAAATTAAAGAGAGGAAACCAAGGGAAAGTGATGACCTTAGTAAAGCACTTTCATGTAATAACAGAGCTGAAAGAGGACTGGATTGAAGGACAAACAAGGCTAACATGGAAGGAAAGAGTCACAAGAAAAATTTTCATTTGTTTTTTTCCTCTTTCCTTTCCTTTTTGCAAAGATAGGAGAAATTTGAGTTAGTAAAAATGGGATATATACATTTCAAAATATTATGGTTCACTAAAAATTAATCACTTTTAGTCAAAAATGTATCCTTCACTGCCACTTACCATGTTAAAAACTGTGATGTCCAATAAACTACCCTCCAGAAAATTGGCATGATCCCGTCTGGAATGTAACTCCATGGCTTGAAACATGGGTGTTGTCTGTTATAACAATTTAAAGTCAATTAATCACAAATAATTATTTCTTAAATGAAAGTTCATATAAATTTGTGAGTAGCAAAGTTCATTTGCATGAGATAAATAATTACTGATCAAATCATAATATCTCAGAAAAATTTAAAAACAAAGCTGTCAAACAAAAAACTGTACATGAAAGAAACAAAACCATTTACTCTAAAAAAGAATACCATTTAAGTTTCCAATTTCCAGTATATTTTTCGTTATTTGGTGAAAAGCAGCCCTAGTATTTAATTAACTGACTGATAGTGTGGAAATCTTTATAAAACAAATAGATTTATGGAATCAAATACTCAATGATTACACCTAAAATACACTCATCCCATTTGTAGGGCTGGCTATATTTTGTCCTTTATTGTTACATAGTAGTGAAGGTTGGAATAGGAATTTAATAGGAATTCAATATAACAGAAATTTAGGTGATTAATTCCTGAAAAACGAAATGCTAATTAAATTAGACACTCTATCACTTCTGCAGAGATAAGCACCCACAAGCTATACACAATACTGTTCATATTTTCTAATGAAAATAATAATAATTTTATTAATTATTTTAATTATTTATATAATAATTTTATTAATTATTTTAATTATTTATATAATAATTAATTATAAATAATTTTAGAAAATAATATTATTTTCTAATGAAAATAATAATAATAAAAATAATAAGAGTCTCTGACCATAAATTCTTCCATTTAAAAGTTTTCTAGACAAGGAGGCTATCTTTTTAATTCAAGGACTTCTAAATCCTCAAGCTATTTCTGATCTACATCTAGTTTTTAATGGTGATTCAAAGAAGACTACCATTTTACCTTTACTCAAGTTAGATGTTCTTGCATATATATGTGCACGTTTGTGTATGTGAAAGCACATACGTGCAAAGGCCAGAGGATGTCATCCTTGGTGTGTCATCCTCAGGAGCACTAGTTTAGCCCTTTGAGACAGGGCTCCTAACTGGTCTGGAGCACATCAATTTGGCTACACTGGTTGTTGTTCAGTGAGCCCAACACTGGGATTACAAGTGCATGTCACAAGGCACAACATTTCTATGTGGATTCTGGGGACCAAACTCAGGTCCTTATGACTGTGAGGCAAGCACTGTATTTACTGAGCTATCTTGCTAGGTCCTATATTTTCTTTTAAAAGCTGCATAAAGAAGCAGCTAAATACTCCCCAAAGTACTGACAAAAGCTTCATGCCAACATGAGTAAGCTTCTTATGTGGAAGTTTAACAGGGATTCAATATAACCTTTTGAAATTCTGAATGTTTATTCATGTGAAATTACGTTTCTTTTAAACATTATTTTTAATTATGTGTATGAGTTTCCATGTATGTGTGTGTGCTACAGAAGCCAGAGGTTTTGTCTGTTGTGAACTGCCCAACATGGGTGTTGGAAATTGAATTTGGGACCTCTGCAAGAACAGGAAGTGCTCTTAACTGCTGAACATCTATCAAGCCCCTATGACGTTTTTAAGAATGTCTAATATGAGAGAAATACTCTTTATCACAATAACCTTATTTTAACTTGTTTCTATTTGGGGATTTTAAAAACAAGGTCTCATGTAGCCTAGGCTAGTCTTGAACTATGTAGGTGAGGCTGGCCTTGAACTCTTGATGTGCTGGGGTTATAGGTGTGTGCCACCATGCCAAACTCTACTTGTGTTAATTCTTGTAAATTAGATGACATGGAAAATGCTTCTCCTTTATAAATTTACTTATGGTGCTGAAACTTGGGAATGTTCATGACTTTTATATTTAAGATAGAGTGATATGAATAACAGGTTTTAGACAAGGGGTGGAAATAGACTAAAACTTATGTCTTAAGTTTCTCACTACCATACTGTATACTGATGTAGATTTAAAATGTATATGTAAACACCATGCAATATAATAAATATACTAGCAAGGATGAAAGTAGGAGGAACAATAGGGAATAAGGGAAACCAGGTGGTAAGACTATCAATTGAAATACTGCAGTATTATATTAAACAGGGAAGTAGAAGGAAAAAATACCTCGGAGCTGGGGTGACAGATGCATACACTCCCGTAACATTATTATTTTCAGGAGGGCTGGAATTTGCAGCAGCATGTCTGCATCGGTTGTATATTGTCTAAAGCAATATAACATGTTTTAAATTGAGAACCAAGAATTCACCAAATACTTAAAAGATTTTTCATAAATCTACCTACCTATTTTCCTGGCTATACTGTTTAATAACTAAATTCCTAAAACAACATTGAAATTCAAAATGATATGTAAGGCAAGGGATGGCCAGACTGCAGTCCACAGCTCCGGAGAGGCTAGCTGACAGGGAGGGGCCCTGGGAGGGACACATGGATAACCCAGTGAAGTAGAAGTGGATGGGATCTGCATGAGCGGGCTGGGGGCTGGGGGGGTGGCAAAGGGCAAGGAATGGGGGGTGAGAAGATGGGGAAATGGGAGGGTCGAGCTGGAGCAGGGATGGAGTGGGAGAGCAGGGAAGGAGATACCGTGATAGATGAAGACATCATGGGAGTGGGAAGAGGCAGGGTGCTGGGGAAGCTCTCAGGAATCCACAGGGATGACCCCACCTTGGACTGCTGGCAGTAATTGAGGGGGTGCCTGGACTGATCATAGAGCCTTTGTCTAGTGACTGATGGAAGTGGATGCAGGGATCCATGGCCCCGGGCCAGGCTGAGCTCAGGGCATCCAGTGATTGGAGAGAGGAGGGATTTCACAGGCAGGGGACGTGGAGACCATGATGGGAAGACATGCCGAGATGACAGGCCACACTAGTGGAGACCCATGAACTGTGGACTAGTGGCTATGGAGCCCCCATAGGACTGGACTAGGCCCTCTGGATACGGGAGACAGCTATTTAGCTTGAACTGTTTGGGAGACACCCGGGCGGGAAGATTGGGATCCATCCCTGGTACATGAGCAGGCTTTTGGAAGCCAGGTGCCTATGGTGTGGCCACCTTGCACAGCCTTGGTGTGACAGGGAGTGGATTGGATCTGCCTCAGCTAGGTGTGCTGGGCTCTGCCGACTCCCCATGGGAGACCCTCATTTGGAGGATGTGGGGATCAGGGGTGGCTTGGGAGGGAGGGCTGGAGGGTGGGAGGAGGTGGGATCTGTGGGTGGTATGTAGGGTGAGTAGAAAATTTCTTAATTAAAAAAGTGATAACCTCACATAGTTTTGTCATTTTAACAAAGCAATATTAAAGCATATTTCAAATTGTATGATTACAACCGTCTTTTAAATTGTACCTCAATTTCACTCTTACCGTACTAACATCCAGTGGCAGTATGAAGACAATAAGAAAGCAGAGATACCAAGCGAGCAGTGTTCCAATGATTACAAGTCTATGCTGTTTCTTAAAGTCTCCATATCGATGAAGGAGGAACAATGCCAGAAAAAAGACAAAAACGATCTCAAGTCCTAAAGCTGCACCACTCATTATTGAATGCTCACGATCTCCAACTAATGTGATTCATGTACAGTTCTGGACCATATCTGTTCACTAGACAAGAGAAAAGAAAGAAATGTGTAACATTAACATAGGAAACAATAATTTGGAAATTTTTTAATTACTTTATTAATGTATTAGGAAACTTTGGAAAACTGTTGTGTAACTTTACATTGGCCTGTGAATAAGACAAGATGACAAGGTTTTTTTTATAACTCACTTTTAAAGTACATCTTTAAAATTACCAGTAGGCTGGGTGTGCTAGCACATACCCTTAGGTTAGTACTCCTGCTAGGGCAGGAGGGTCATGAGTTAGAGGCCAGCCTGCACTATATAGCAAGACCCTGTCCCATATATACCTATATACACACACATATATATCATTTATACATAATGTATTCATTATTCTAAGATATATTATGTATTCTTTAAGTTTCTCACTGCCATATTGTATACTGATGTATATTTAAAATGTATATATAAAGATACATATATCATTTCTTTAGGTAGATTAAATGTAATCATATCATTACAATCTTTTATATTCTAATAAAAGTCATATTCATTCTTAAAAATATTAAAAAATTAAATTAATACTAAGATGAACAGTTTTAATATAATATTTGAGTATGTTTCTTAATGTTATATAAATGCTAGGCAACCATTTAAATTATTTTTAATTTAAAAACTTTTGTATACAATATATTTTGATCTCTCCTCCCCCAACTCCTCGCAGATCCTCACCACCTCCCCATCTACCCAACTAAATGTTCTCTCTCTCTAAAGAACATAAAAAGAAAAGAAATAAGCACTACCAGTAAGATAAAGAATATCAAAACACACGCACATAAAACAAACAAAAACCATGGAGTCCGTTTTGTTGGCCAACTACTCTTGGCCATGAGGCCTGTCCTGAGTGTGGCTGACAAATCCTGTGACACTCCATCAGAGAAAACTGATTTTCCCTTTGCCATCAGTGATCAACTGCAAACAGCTTCATGGTTAGGGGTGGATCTTTGTAGCAGAAAATTTTATATAAATAAGCTATCATAGAAAACCAGATATTAAGTCTATCTTAGCAAGTTAGACATTTAATAAAATAAAGTTTTCTAAGATCATCCATAGCCAAGAACTTAAGATTTTCCGAAATAGTCACCAGCAGAAACATTCCAAAGTAACTTCCTGAAACAATGTTCTCCTCGTGTGCTTTGTCAAACTCAACTTTCATGATCAAAGTTTGTTATACTCCACTTTATAGGTTAACCTTTTCCATTCCTCCGTATAAATCTTACTTCCTCTAAAGAAAGCTGCTTTTCTATTTCATGTAAAAAGAAGCTACTACTATCACCATTGGAAACTATCTAGACCACACTGGTCAGTCGGAATTCATCACACAGCCTAGATTAGCTTCACGCTCATCAATCTCCTACTGAGAGTTACCTGAATGTTGGGATTACAGGCATGTGGCACCATAGCTGGTCTTACCAAGTCATTAGTTGGTTTTTGTTTTGTTTTGTCTCCAAGTTTTTTTTGTTTTTTTTTGGTTTTTCGAGACAGGGTTTCTCTGCATAGCTTTGCGCCTTTCCTGGAACTCACTTGGTAGCCCAGGCTGGCCTCGAACTCACAGAGATCCGCCTGGCTCTGCCTCCCGAGTGCTGGGATTAAAGGCGTGCGCCACCACCGCCTGGCTCATTGTCTCCAAGTTTTTAAGACACGGTCTTGCTATGGAGCCCAAGCTAGTCTCTAACTCATAATATAGACTAGACTAGCCTTGAACCGGTAACTCAGTATTGAGACAACAATTTTGTTTTTCTGAAACAGGGTTTTATGTAGCCCAGGCTGGTTCTATCATGAATGAAGCTTGACTATTTCTTCCCTTCACTTCCCAAGTGCTGGCGGATTACAGGCATGTGCTGGCACACCAGCTGGAAAATATTTTTAATTGTGAATGTATAATACAAACATCAGCAAATGATTCCTCACTTCTTAAAAAAAAAGCGAGGGGGAGAAAAACTGAAAACAGGAAAAGACGAGACAATATGTACTTTTTTTTTTCCACCCTGAATCCAGAGGTTGGTAGATTGGTTAATGAGCTGGCTAATAGCTTCAGAGATTCTCCTGTCTCTGTCCCTGCTGCCCATCAAGAGGGCATGTGCCTCTTCACCCAGATTTTTGTTTGGGTTCTGGGAATCTGAACTTGGTCCTCATGCTTGTGAATCAGCACTTGTTCCACTGAACTATCTTCCCAGTACCACTTCTTACTTATTAATTATATCCCTGTACTACCTTCTGTAGCTAGACTCCCTGAAAGAGAGCTCTAAGGTATCTGGCACATTTGAAATACCTGTTGAAATAATTAGTGAGTGACTACTCTATTTGTTAGGACTTACACTACTTTTCTATTTCTATTACTGATTAATTCAAAAGCAATTTGAAACTTGTTAAAACAAACTTTATAAATTAATGTCTACTGCTTTGTATCTTATCAACTTCTACTAAACAGTTTAAATATCAGTTTAAATATTTGAGGAAAAAACCTGGACCTCAACCATTTCTAAGGCAACCAAGTGATAGAACAGCACCCCGACTATGAGGAAAGTATACAGCCAAACATCTCCTGTGCCGGGATGAAACACTCATATGTATGTTTTAACCTATAACATTTTAAAGGACTGAGACTGAGAAATTAAGAAGCATAGTAAAAATATTAATATGGTAGGTTAGTAACTGATTTTGTTGTCTACTTCTGCCTATTATAGTACTAACCTGCCATATTAGTATTTTTACTGCAGTAATGATGAACAACTTTATCGTCATAGTTTTTGTGGATCAAAATTTCCAGCACAGAAAAGCTCAACGGAGTTCTCTGCTTAGGATCTCAAGGCATCAGCAGGTTTACAATTACATTTACATTTACATTTTTCTCTGAAGATCTAAGAATTCACAGTGGGCAAAATTTAGTTCCACTCATCAAGGCTAAGGGGAAATATGGAGTCCAAACACTGGATACTCTCATTTCCAGAGATTAAGGGATAGCTGTGTGTGTGTGTGTGTGTGTGTGTGTGTGTGTGTGTGTGTGTGTGTACCCAGTATTCTATTTACCACATTGTTTATTTCTTTTTGTGTCATTATGACACAGGTGAAGTCCATTGAAATTAGAGATTGACTGGGTTTTCCTAACCTGAAAGAATATGAGTTTAAAGTCTGTATCTTTGATCTTGTTCCTAGATTCAAATGAGGAATTACTTTTTAAGTATAGAATGATAGTACGTTCTATGACTACCTATGAATTCCTATAGCTCGTTTTGGTTGCTGCAACTGAATAACTGTTGAAAGGCAGGGTACCTTATTCTTTACCTCACTTAGCTATTTACATATTATAGTTCATAAAAGTAATTGTCAATATAAAAACATCTGGTCCTAGCCGGGCGGTGGTGGCGCATGCCTTTAACCCCAGCACTCAGGAGGCAGAGACAGGTGGATCTCTGTGAGTTCAAGGCCAGCCTGGGCTACAGAGTGAGTTCCAGGAAAGGTGCAAAGCTACACAGAGAAACCCTGTCTCGAAAAACAAAGACAAAAAACAAAAAACAAAAAACAAAAAACAAAAAAAAAAATCCTGTCCTGTTAACAATGGAACAGCAATTGAGGAATACATATCAAAATCCTTTAAGGAAAAAAAAAAAAAAACTGTACCTTTGTAGCACCAATTCCTTTTTTAATTACTCATTCTCAAGGAAAACCAAAGCACAAAGCTGGGTGTTGGGGTACACACTCACACACTTCTATTTCCAGGGCTAAGGAGGAGGAGACAGGTGGCTCCCTGGGACTTGCTGGCCTGCCAGCTTCACCTAGTAAGGAAGCTCCCAAAAAAAGGCACTTCTTAAAATAAGGTAGACAGCACTGAGAATCAACAACACAGGTGGCTCTCTGGCCTCACTGCTCGCACATGCTCGCACACGCACATAAATATACATATATACACACAAGTATGTGTGTGCAAACATACACCCACATACACAAAAGAAACAGCAAAATGGGAATTAAAGATTTATCTACAATGTTCATTTTCACTATAGCATTATATATAAAAACACAGGAGAACTAAAAGTTTGCAATAAGTAGTCCAGAAAGTCCTCTGGTCTCACCATTACCAACTGAGTATATAAGGACAAAGATTTAATAAAACAAAATGTGGTGATGATGGTGCATGAAAAAAAATGGTTTCTACTCTCTTCTTTATGCCTTCTTGTATATGTATGCTTTTAATTTTTAGTAATAAATAACAGTATTTTGTATTTAAGTTATTTTAAGGTCACTATTATATGTAAGATTAAATATACAGACAATTCAAGTGTGTGTTGGATGTTACAACTCTTTTAAAATACATGTTTTATAATATCTTGGAAAACCTGGGCTTAAAACCATAACTGTGTAATTTATGCAATGTAAGCTCTTAAATGAAGATGACCACCTCACACCTGTGGCTATAAAGATCAAATATGCATAAAACACTAATGAAGAGTCCCAGACACAAGCAGGTCCTGAATATGGACTAACTGCTTACCTCTGCTGTCTTCTAGAAAATACTTACTTGCTCCAATGGTCTCAAAGCATTAGTTTTGCCCTCAAAAGTCGGCTTTCCTCAAAAAAGTATATATAAGAAAGGAAAGCAACTGTATTTTACTTCTCAATCTCTGTGGCTACAATAACTTCCAAAGTGTATCCTTATCCCTTTGTAAGAAATGAACCTGGCTCATAAAGATTATTGCTCCCTTGCAATATTAGCATTATTTCCTTCAGTTTGCAAGGTAGCTAAACAATTCTTCATCTGTATGCTGGCCAGAGACTGAACACAATTCAGAACCATGTCGAGAAGGCGCACCTAGCACACCAATGCCCAACAAGATGTCATTCATTTAGGCACATAATCAGAGTGGGTTAATTATTACAGATCATTAGCTAAATTGTAACTGTGTGTAACCCTATGAAAGATTTCAAGAGCCAAAGAAAAAAATTTGCCTTTGATCACAACAAAGGTTGACTTATTATATTCTTCAAACATTAAAATAACAGGTTTGGGGAGAAGATGATGGTTAATATTTGGAAGCATCCTAGTTTTCATGGGTTGGTATTAACACCATAGTAGCAAAGTTGATTTTACTCACAATCAAAGTGCCAACTGACTTAATTGATCAAATTTTAGCACCTTATATGTAGTCCGATTGTACAATTCAAAATACCAGGTCCAAAAGCCTTAAATATTTAAAACCCAACTTCATTTCTTTTTTTTTTTCAACTTCATTTTCTAATGATCAAAATAGTATTCAATACTATTTTCAAATGCCGTTATAGCCATCTTGCTAAAATTAATGGTTCAGGAGTGCTGTCTTCTATGTAGATTGTGGCTGATAATGGTTATACAGGATAAACTCACTGTGAAAGAAAAATTTGAGGAATTCCAAATGTTCAAAAACAGAGAGGGAACTCAAGCAAAAGAGAATTGAGTTTTAAAAGAAGAAGAAGAAGAAGAAGAAGAAGAAGAAGAAGAAGAAGAAGAAGAAGAAGAAGAAGAAGAAGAAGAAGAAGAAACCAAAGCAACTGATGAGGAGGATATAAACAAAAAACTGACAAAAAAAAAAAAAAATATTGTCAAACCCCAAAGTTCTGAAACCAATAAAAAATTTCCCATCAAAACCTAAGGATTCATCAGAGCTGGTTTTAACGTATGCTTTTATTCCAGGCCTTGAGATGCTACACAAACTCTCCACCACTGGGCCACTTCCCAGTTGCAGTATTAATTTAAATTAGTATTTTAACTCAGATGTGATATAATGAAAGCTAGATGATAACTCAAGATCCTAACAACAAAGAATTAAAATGAGCAGAAGAAGAAGTGAAGGATCAAACATAAAAGAAAGCAATTTCCAACTACTACTAAGAAATGCCTTAGCTGTAAGTATTATTCTCGTGGTTAAAGATTTCATGGCTAGAGCTCCATTTAGAACAAGAGCACAAATGACAATTTCACTTTAAAAAACAAGTCAGAGTGGCTTTGCTCTTGTTTTGGTCCATCTAAGGGAGGAATTGACAAGCCAGGTGACAAGGATTCCAAGGTGTGGAAGCAAGAGGCACAAGCAGATGACTCATCTTTGGCAAGGCTGGAAGGGCTGAATCTGCAAGCAGGTCAGTGGGTAAGGAGAACACTAACCTTTCAACAAAGCCTTGAGGATTTCAGCTGGAGAATCTGTAAGAATTACTTTGATATCCAGAGACTCCTTTATAACAAAGTAACGTTTTTACAAAGGAACTCTAAGATTGGGTGTATGCTTAGGATATTACACTGCACATTATTTGCTTGGTTTAATTAGTCCCATGACCTAGTGAGGAAAAACTGTTAGAATTCTTGCTTACTAAAGGAGAAAATGGCAGAGTGGGTAAGTAGCTTATGCAAGTTCTCACAGTCAGCCTGTGGCAAAACAGATCCAAACTGAGGCATCCTGACCACAGGGAATGGATTTCAAGTTCATGTCTCATCTCCAATCCAGACATCCTTTTAAAACGCAATTTGCTTTAAATAATCTCTATGGTTCCTTTTTCATAAAAAATAAATTTAAAATATTCCCCTATTCTTTTTCCAAGATATATCAAGACAGAATGCTAAATAATAATAATTTTTTACTTTGTGGGTACTTATTTCATTTAGACTAGTTTTAGTAGTTTTGTTTTGTTTTGTTTCTAATTTTCATGGGAGAAGTACAAAGTAAAACAGAACAAATAAGAATCTTTTTGTTATTGATCTAAGCTGCCCATTACAAATCATTAAATCAAAGAAAACTCGTGATAACTTTAAAACCAAGAAAGAGAAAGGGATAGGTATGGAACTTGATAGGCAACTGAAAACATCTTGCTATAGCGGTCTCCAGTTCTTTGTTCCCCTAAGCTAAATAACATACAGAGATTTTTAAATTTCTCTCTGTGATGCAACTATGACTGCCATTATGCTTAACTGTATCTCTCTGGCTATATTTGATTTTCAAAAATAAGATCAACTAGCATTGAATAGATGGCTACATAGACATAGTTATACACATGTATGCATATACATGCCATATATATGCACATAGATATCATGGCCAGTTAGGATTGTCAGTCTTGTCTAGCCTCTCCTGGGCCCTGAAAACATTGCTTGCCTTGTAACTATGCTGTGTTTTTAGCTGCATAAAGGACACTGTTAGTGCCTTTTCAAAACATCTTATGTTTCTCAATTTATAATGTCACTTTGTGTTCTATTTCTAGCTTCCAAAGAGCACTAGATATTATTCAACCTAATAATATTTTCAGTTATAAAAAATATGATTTTTCCCAGACCCAGATTAATTCTAATGCTAAAAATGTTTTAAAACTTATTAAAATGAAATGCAATATGTGTGGAGTAAGATTAAATAAGATTAATCAGAAAATAAAATATTTTACATTAGCAGCAATCACAACGTAGTCCTTTAAGAGACTACAGGGCAGTTTCTACCTAGTTAATAATCTCAATCATCAATGGACAGAAATCCTCTATCAAAAAGAATCATGTGTGCCAGTATAAGCCTTAAAATTTTTTACCATACTAAGGAAAAAGCTGTGAGTAGAAGAAATGTCAAAGAAGAATAGTTCCATTATCAAGGCAAAGCAGAGGCTCCTGGGCTCCTAATTTCAAAGCTGATAGGCTTTCCTTGGTGTCCTAGAGAGGGCCTTGTGTCCACTAATTTAAATATCCTATGCATTCTCTGGTAACTTAGCTAAATTCAGGGCTAAACAAGGTTATATTTTATGTTTAAATTTAGAAATATCTCATCTATTATACCTTCCCACCTATAAGGTATTTATTTGAGGTTGCCTTTACTAATTACTTTATATCTCAACATTGCTTATTAGCATGGTGTTAAACTATTATTGTTGTGTTGCCTTTCATTACTTTACAAGCTCTGTCTTGTTCACTCTCCCTAAAAAGAAGACTGCATTTTTTTTTTCCTAAATGAGTTACAATAACAGAAGGGATGTAGGTCAAGAGAAGGCAAATGTGTTTTCCAAAGTAACAACAGGTAACTTTACATTAAACCTCAGAAGGTCTCATTTTAACACACTTTCTTACTGTAACAGTTGAATGAATGAACTGTGAATATGCGTCATTCATATTCTCTCTCTCTCTCTCTCCCTCTCTCTCTCTCTCTTGTTGGGTGGTTTTTGAGACTGGTTTCTCTGTGTAGCCCTCACTGTCCTGGAACTCGCTCTGCAGACCAGGCTGGTCTCGAACTCATAGAGATCTGCCTGTTTCTGCCCCCGTAGTGCTAAGACTAAGCAAGAGGGATTTAATTCCATTATAAAATGCATCTTGAGCAGGGCAGTGGTGGCACAAGCCTTTAATCCTAGCACTCTAGGCAGATCTCTGTGAGTTCGAGGCCAGCCTGGGATACAGAGTGAGTTCCAGGAAAGGCACGAAAGCTACAGTAGAGAAACCCTGTCTCGAAAAATCAAAACAAAACAAAACGAATCTTGCCACCCGCCCGTGCCAAAGAAACAAACACAAGGGCATGTCATCTAACATACGAACCAATATTCTTAAGTTTTTGATGAAGCTAGCCTACTTTTTTTCTCAACTTTATAAATCCTCTTCATTTTCATTGGTCTTGAAATGCATCCCCCTACATTCTCCCCCGCTGCCCTGGAGTCACATTTTCAGCAGGTTGCACACTTGAATTTCGCATGGTCATTCTAATCTAATCGCCCCCCTCCCCGACCTCTTCAGAGAGCCTAAATTAGCCTAGCTTTCAGGCAGAGATTCAAAGAGAGGTTATGGGTTGGGTCAGAAGCACCATAACAGCTTTCCAGGGTGGTCTCTCGCTGCAAGCCTCGCCTCGTCCTCGCATTCCCTGGGTTTGCCACCTGAGAGAAGACTCATCAAGGAGACAAGAGGATGCACGCGGGAGGGAACCACGACGGGCTCCTGCTGCCCTAAAAAAAAAAAATCAAACCACGGCTTCTCTTGGAAGTGCTTTAAAAAAAGGCTTTCCACGCGCACGTTATCTGATTCGACACCCCCAGTCCAAGCCCGCGGGGTGTGCGTCGTCCTCGAGCCTGTTTTAGAGGGGAGGGTAAGGATCGGGTCCACAGACAGAGCCCCAGGGCCGCCCACTGCCAGGTGGAGGAAGCAGACGACAGGCAGGAGGGCAGGCAGGCTTGCCACCCGCAGCCCCTCTCACCTGGCGGGCCACCGAGGCCAGGGAGACGGGCCTGGCGGTGGAGGCGCCCCCTCCAGATCTCGAGCGCCCCCCACCACTCCACCCCAGTCCATCTCGGCCAGGCTGGGCCGGGACCCCAGACCTCAGGCTCACCGTGGGATCTCGCCAGACAGCGTCTGCAAGGGACTGAGAAGCTTCGCGTCCGCCGCAGCAGGGCCGCGGTCGGAGAGACCCACAGTCCGGGGCGACCGCGGCGGTGGTCCCCCCAAGGCCTTGTGGGCTCCGGGGAGGGGGGAAAAAGGAAAAAAAAAAAAAGCCGGACCCAGTCAATCGGCTGACATTTTCCCCCAAGTCAGTCTGGCTCCGCCCACTTCCGCTTGCCCGTCCTTCCCCCTCCCCACCCCCACATCTACCCCTCCATCCCGCCCTGCGCCGCGGGGGGTTGTGGGTATCCGGAGGGTTGGCCAAAAAAAAAAAAGAAGACGACTGGAGGAAGTAGGAGCGAACCTAGGCGGACTACGAGCCAGGCCCAGAACTACAGTTCCCAGCAGGCGCCGGGGCGTCAGAAGGCGGCTGCTGGAGAGCGGGATGCAGAACTCCGCGCGCGCGGCGGTGATGGAACGTTGCTAGTTCGCGGGTCCGGCAGCTGGGGCCCCCGGGGATCGCTCTGCGCCGCGCGCTGGAGCGGGAGTCTGGGAGACAGGCAGGTCTTCAATTAATGCACACATTCAAACCCCCTGAATCCGTGGACGCAATGCACAGGTAAACCGATTGCAAAAAAAAAAACAAAAAACGGGCAAAGCATGAATGAACCGTTTGAATTCTTTTAGGCCGCAGATGTTGCTTCTTGCTCAAATAGTCTTGTTTGGTGAATGGTTACTTAGCCCCTTTTTTTGAAGAAAGTGGATGGATGCATGCTTTAATGAGAATATGTGTCTTTCGCTCTGGCTTCCTAATTAGGTTTTCCTCCCACTGTTTTGAATCATGGTATGAATGTCGTCCCTCTTTTTCCCTCCACGGGAAGAAATTGTTGAGGCCTTCTGCGTGACCATAAATTCCAAAGCCTTTCGAAGTGGAGTGTGTATGTGTTTCCGATTTTCTCTTTCATTCTTGGAAACTCGCTGCAGGGACGTTAACAAAATGCAATACTGTTGCTTGGTGTGACTTTTCTACACTGCATGCTTGACGCTTCTTTCATTCTTACCTTGGAATTACTGAGGGGTGTGCTTTCAAAAGGAATGGGGAATGTGTGCCCATCTGCAGGAAACACCTTCAGGAGATTCCGGACCAAAGTAGCAACGTCAGCACCAGCTTCACGTGGGGATGGGACTCCAACAAGACTTCTGAACTGCTGTCAGGCATGGGTGTCTCTGCCTTGGAGAAGGAGGAGGTGGACAGTGAGAACATTCCTCATGAACTGCTCTCAAACCTCGGCCACCCCCAGAGCCCTCCAAGGAAACGGCTAAAAAGCAAGGGCAGCGACAAAGACTTTGTGATCATCCGGAGGCCTAAGCTCAATCGAGAGAACTTTCCAGGTAAGGTAGGACATTGAAATTCAAATTGTGTAAGAAATGGATGGAACTGTTTTGTTTGAACTAAACTGATTGAACTATTTCCTTGTGGGATCTTTAGGCTGGGTACCTAAAATTGCCTAATTTTGAAGTGTTGCAGTATAATGGAAATCAGTTGTTGAAGTCTCCGGAATCCTGGTAGGTCTTTATCTTCTGGTCTACAATTGACTTGAAACTTTTAACCCACGAGACAGCATTCCTGCCCTTTTCCTTACAAGGGAATCTCCCTGCTCAAAGTCCACTCAGCACACTGATAATGGGAATATAAGCAAGGACCTTAGAGGATTCCTTTAGTTTCTAAAGCACTGCTTAGTACCAGAGTGAACTTTATATCTTAAATTAGGTTATTTGTAGGCACTTTAGGAAGGTAAATGTTGACCTAAGAGGAGAAAATTTATCTCCCTACTCCACTTGCAACAGGCTCTTTGGGGGTGTTGTGTTTCCATTAATGTGGGGTTATAGTTGCAATCATGGAACCCTAAAACTTAGTGTGATCTCCACTCTTCCCCTATATCCAACTGGTCATTGTGTCTTAAACTCCTGCATGGCAAACGATCCCAGCTTTCATCATCTCTTCCTGAATCATTGTAATGGGTTTATAACTTCAGCTTTCTCCTCAGTTCTGTCTCTTGGAGATAAAATGGATTGATTAAAATAGAATTTACTTTAAATTATTCCCTTACCAGTGACTCCCATTCCCTGATTTCCCAAGCATTTTTAAATAAGTGCCTCCAGGATAGATCGAGACTCAGGTACTCACAGTCATAGGGTAAATAATAGTGTATTGACCTGAGGCATTGTCAGATTTTTTTGTTTTTGTTTTTTTGGGTTTTGGGTTTTTTGTTTTGTTTTGTCTTTTAAAAGAGTGATGTGGCAAGTATTTGCTGAGAACACACTATGGTTTCCACGGTCTAGTGCTAAGAATACAGCAGTGAACAAAACACACACATTTAAATCTTAGAACTTCCCTTCCAGTGAGGAAATACCATAAACACAGTGGACATGCTGTTTTATGTAACGTGTTAGGCCGTGGTCGCTCAAAACAGAAAGAGATCAAGCTGAGAGAGAATGGAAGTCCTGAAGTCAGAATGCAAACTGCAAACTGGATATTGACTAAAACCCTTAGCAGGATGATAGATTGAAGACTGGGTATTGGCTAAAACCCTTAACTGGACAGTGACCTTTAAGCAAAGGCAAGGAAGGGAGAGAGCAGGAGTGTGTCATGAAAATGTCTCTTGGTAGAAAGAACCTGAGGCAAAAGGAACAGCCATTGTAAAATTCTAGAGTAAACAGTGCACCATGGTGTAAAAGTAGAGGAGGGAGAAGTATGGCAGACTGGTGGAATTGAGTCGTTAGCAATCTTACCTCATTGAACCCCTGACCCTTTGCTGTTGTTGTTGTTGTTTTGAGACTGGGTTTCTCTGTGTAGCCCTGGCTACCTTGGAACTCTAGACCAGGCTGGCCTCTAAATGATCCACTTGCCTCAGTGCTGGGATTAAAGATGTGGGCCACCACCCCCCTGCCCATTGAACCCTTTAAAGGAGCACATGGGTTAACTGAGACTGAACTGTAGCAGGTAGAGGATAGGCAATAGATGCTTAGAGACGTGTTAAGATGTGGGCGAATGATGAGCAGTGGTCAGATTTGGATAGAGTCCAAATGTAGAGACAACAGAATTAGAAGGGTGTTGAGATTGTCCGTGGAAGAGGTAACCAAAGTCTACTAAATGGAAACTGGGTGAGCGATGACTGGATAAACAGATTGAGGAAAACATCAAAGTGAAGTCTTGCAGAGCCAATGTAGATAAGTATACTCTTAGGTTCTCCCATCTGGCGTTATCAGCATCTGGGGTGATAAGCTGATCAGTTGCTTGCTTTAAAATACCTGTTTTGTACTCTGGTATGGTGGCACACGCCTTTAATCCCCAGACTCAAGAGCCAGATCCCCTATTAGATGCCAGCCTGGTCTAAATACTGAGTTCCAGGACAGCCAGGACTACATAGTAAGGCTCTGTTTTTTTAAAAAAAAAATCTGTTCTGGCTTTTCAAAACTTCTATAGGAAAGGGAGTCTTGTTCACATTGTGGCATGTGAATGCACATTAATGCCAGGTAATGCTGGCACACATCTCTAGTCCCAGGGCTTAAGAGGCTGAGGTGAGAGACTAGGAAATATTCCAGGAAAGCATGAGGTTTATGATGAGGCTGTCTCAAAACTGGAAACATAACTGAATAAATAAAAATATCTGAGATTAACTAGAGAAAAATGGTGGTAAGTTCAGACAGATCTGCATTTGAATCCTGATGCTGCTGTTTGTCTGTCCTGGAAAACTACTTGAGCTGTCTGAAATGGAGCAGCAATAATTCCTACTTACTGGGTTGCTGTGAAGATGAATAAAACTGTAAAGCTCTTATTATGAAATGGGTATATAATACTTAATACTGGTCAACAAAACTTCGGACACTGGTTTGGGAAGTCAATTGACTTATATAATGTGATATCATAATGTTAAACTGTCTATAATGATGTTAATCTGACTCTACCCATAACGAACTCTTTTTCTTTAAAACTTAATGTGACGCCTATTTTTAGTGCCTGCAATTTTAACCCTAGAGATTTGGTGTTTGACCAGCCAAATGTGGTGAGAGATACTTCCTGCTAAGATGAGCAGATTTTGATTAAGTTGCCCATTGTGGATAGCTTTGGGCCTGGAATATGGCTGCTTCGCATGCCCAAGGATGGAAATCGGAGTCAGTTTTGAAGCAAGGCACTGTAGAAACCAGACAGAAGATAAGGGAGGGTTGCTGTCGCCTAGGAGTTTAAAAATGGAGTTGAGGAGGAAAGACAAAATACACAGCAGCTCCCACACAGCAATATGTCTTCCAGGAAGACAACAGTGTGAGGAGCTCAGGCCTTGAGTGTCCTTGGGCTGGAGGGAGGGAGAGACAGAGGGACAGAGGGACGCAGGGAGGAGCCATTTGTGCAAAAGTAACTCACTGAATGAGAGCAGTCCTTCTTAACTCAGCAAAAGTAAAGTATTGAGAAGAACTGAACTGGTCCATCAATGAGTCTACATTTTGTTGTCTTTGGTTTTTTTTTTGTTTTTTATTTATTTATTTATTTATTTATTTATTTATTTATTTATTTATTTATTTATTTAAAGTCAGACCTTGCTGTATAACCCTGGTTGATCTGATACTATGTAGTCTTAAAACCCCAGCATGCCTCTTGCCTCAGGTGAGAGCTAGGAGAGCAGCTGTGAGATACCACACCTGGCATTTGTTTATTTAATAGACTCTCATAGTCCAGGGTGACCTTGAACTCATGGCAATCCTGTCTTCGGCTTCCCAAGCGCTCAGATTATAGTCATTCAGCCCAGAAATGAGCCTAGACTTTAAGATTGACTTTTAAAATGTATGTCTAAAATGAGAGAGGAAACATCATGACTTTCAGGGTTTTTGTGACCTAGGAGATAGGGAAGGCAGTGGCATATATTTACACATCCATGGACTTCCATTGGTTAATTGCAGTGGATGAGGAGTGGGCTCCTGCTGTAAGCTGAGAGGCAGATGCTGTAGGAGTCCCACCAAGCCCCCAGAAGCAGGCACAGGCCTCCAGTGTAGCTGGGTTCTCACTGCAGGGAGGTTTGCCTGCAGTTGTCAGGACAGGTGGCGACTAACTCTGCCAGGATTAGGGCCGGACAGGCCCCACCTGCTGTACTCAGAGATCTGGTGACTGGCCCAGGGCTTTTGTTGGTTCATTGCTAAGCACGATTTCCCTACGGACTGCATTCCA